GAATTCAGATTTTAGTTGGGTTCATTACATTCACTTATGCACAAATTCCCTTGGGGAAAAGAATCTATTTTTTCACTCCCACTCAAGCTATGGGTAAAATAGTAGAACTTGTATCTGGAAAAAATCATTCTTCTCAAAAAATTGTAAAATACAATATTAACTCACCAAAAAAAAAAAAAAAATTTATCAATCTAAAATATTTTTACTTTAAATATTCTACAAAGAGTTGATAAGCCATAAAAAGTAAATTAATCAGTCAGCAACAGATCTGTACCACAATTAAGAGAACAGCACCCTGTGTCTTTCTATGATGACATCATTCTGTAGTTGTATAAAAATGCTATTATAGGGAGCAGCAATATCTTGAAGGTTTCTCATCAACTTGCAATCATTTGGATGCAGTTTCTTTTTAATAATATTAAATTTTACAAAACTGAATTAAAATAAGTTATTAAACACTTGGAACTGGATTTTATTTCATATCCTTCTTTTTATTTTTTTTGCTCAATGGTGGGGAAATTTTTTTCTTTTTCCTTTGTGAAAAATATCACATTTCTTCCTCTATCAAAATATAATGATGACACCTAGGGACACAGCAAATTCTGCTGGTAATGGACAGGAATTGAAATATTAATCTTTTTTTGAGTGCTGGCTGATTTTTAGCTTTGCTTTCTGGTGCCAACAGGCTTTGCTGTTATTCTGACAGTTCCCCATTTAACTGGAGTCATTTTCTGCTTAGACAAATGAAATGTTCTTGACTATAAAGGAGGAAATTTAATGTCTAAACACTGAATTTTGCTTCTTTTTTTTTCCCCTTTTACTTACAGTTTGTTTTCAAGTTTCATCATTTGTTAAGCATTAAAATTCACGAATAAAGGCATTTTCAGTGGTCAGGAATGAATTCAAGCATTAATGACAGAATTGTACTATTTTATGTGTAACCGTTTTACTATAGAAAAGCATTGAAAACTGGAGAAAGGGATTTTCATATGGTCAGGAATTAACACAAGATTTACATACAAAATAGGGATTTTTTTTTTTAAGTAATACAATGTGTTGCTTATGATTTTTGATACAGAAATGCATTAAAAATCAGAAAGAAAGGTATATTCATTATTGTGGTATTGCAAGTATTACTAACAGAATAGGTCTTTTATAAAAGTGGTGGGAGGGAGGAGGGATAAGATATAAATTTTTATGTCCAGAACAATTTTAGTCCAATGAATTCCTAAAGGACAAAACATGTCACATGAAAACTCTTTCCACTGTGTCTTATGTAAATACATTTTTAATGCTTTTACTAGTCATACATTGAAAATGTAGAAAAATGGTTGTTCAATGCTTAGGAATTTACATTATTCGGACTATTGTCCTCATCTTTGTCGCCATATTTATTACAATGTTTCGGCCGTTGTATGCTCCGGCCTTCTTCAGGCCTTTATCCACTTGAAGTCACATGGCACAGTGGATAAAGGCATTAGTTAGATGCAGTGACAGGACGCAAAGAGTGTGAGTTCAATACCCAGTTAAGGCAGTGAAGAACTTGGAGAGGGGAATTAACAGGGGATAACTGACAACTGAAATCCATTAAACATGGCACGTGGAACTAGAACAGTCTACCCCAGTGAACGAAATAAAGGGTTCAGTTAGACATTCCAACCACCTGAAGAAGGCCAGAGCATACAACGGCTGAAATGTTGTAATAAATATGGCGACAAAGATGAAGATAATAGTCCAAATAATATACATAATACCTTATCTCAGAAATATAGACAGATGCTTAGGAATTTATTCTAGCTTAGCTGAAATGGTCTATTTGTGTATAATATTTTCTTGTTCTAGATGAGTTTTTATTATGTGGTTAAAGCAGAAACACTAATCACTACAGTCAAGTTTCATTAGAAAATTTTAATTCTTTTTTTTTTTTTTTTTTTTTTTTTTTGAACTTTTAAATAAATGTAGACAAAATTGCCTAAAGAGGAAAGACTAAAATTTTGGCAGGAAATTCTCTTCACTATAAGGAAAGTATAAAATTTAAACTAATATTTTACATTTTTCAGAGACCGCCATATTGGAATTGTTAACTTTTAAGGATTATTTACAAAGTAATGAAAAAAAGTGTCACCATATTTCCGATAGAAATTTATTATTGAGAAAACACTTTTTTTTTTCAGTTTCTATCATTTTTTTTCTTATATTTTTCTCTTTCAATAACAGTTTAGTAATAAACAACAGTCAACCCACCGCCCCTATTTCTTTGGAAGTTGTTGATGAGACAGATGTTTATTCAAATTATGGGAGCTTCCGCAAATATACACCTAAATCAAAATGGTCTCTAAAAGGTAAACTTTAAGCACAACTTACTTTTTTCTTTTTTTTTTTTTTCTATAGCTACAACTTTAGATATAAATTCTTATTTATCCAAATATACAATAAAACTTTCAGAAAATAAGATTTTTAAAACCTATCAATATTTACTTGAATTATGTGTCTATACATCTATTATACCCATTTTTATTTTCATGATAAAATATCAAACATTAGTTCAGCACAGACACAACAGTAATAAATTTAATTTTTGCATTCTGGTATACATACCTGCCCATAATGGCACTCTTCTTCAAAATTGACTTTTTCCTAAATGACCTTTTGTACAATAATATGAACTGGAAAAGCCTAAACAGTACCAAAGGAGGATGTTCAGAAACATTTGATATAACATCAGCCAATACAAATTTCAAGCACAGTTCAAAATTATTGGAACATACTGAATAATTTTGTTTCCCTTTTCATTAAAAGGGAAAGAAAAAGGATGATTGTACTAAGAATCAAAGATTTTAAATATCTGGTTCATATGAAGAAAGAGGGATTAGAGAATTTGACACTCACATGACATATTGAAATCAAGAGGGCAAAGGGGAAACAGCAAGTAATCTAACTAAGAAGCTTGTATAAATGGATGGCTGAGAGTGATAGTAAGGAAACAAGCATTACTTGTTGTTGTCAGCACCCACTTGCATCCGAACATTGTGATCGTCATACTATCTCCCTATTTCCTTTCTCTCTCTTCCTGATACTGATGGTGGCAGAGATGGTTGTGAATTGTAGTTTGCATGAATTTGACATTGGTACACAACTCTGCACAACAGAAGCCCACAAGAAGCACATCCCTTGTGGCTTAAAGGAGACTGAGACAGTTGTGGCAGACTTGGTTACATTAGGCTGTCAAATGCTTATTCTGTCAAAGTCCATCTGACTGGTGCTGCAGTCTTCCGCTGGTTTGGCCATTGAGATTGTGTAGATCTTTGCCTATTCTATTGTTGGGGTCTTCAGGTTTGGTCGCATTCAGTCTGGTCCTTCCTGTTCAACCATACGACTATGGGTGATATTACAGGTGTTTGAAACTCCAGACAGCTTTTCTTTTGGGATCATTGGGACAAGTAAGCCCTCTACTTTTGACAAGGAATGGCTATATATATTTTACACTGGATGTCAGAGTAAACAGTTGTCAAATCTACCACTTTGACTTTGAAAAATGTCATGCCTCAAAACTCTTTGCCTACAAATGTGAAAATACATCCTTGTCCATAAAAAAAAAAGAAAAAAAAAGAAATATTATGTTACTAAAATCAATAAACAAGGAAAGGGTAACAGAATAAACAGAACTACAATGGATAGGAAGTTTTGGAAAGCCATGATCACCCATGTCCTGAAGAGACATATGAGAAGAAATCCTTTGGGAATGAAGAACACTAGCTATTAGCCATATTTTAAGGATATGTTGCGAATAGCAAGTTACATCATCCCTGGAAAGTTCTTGAAATACAGGAATTTCTAAAGCAACATATGACAAGGTACAGATGTTGTCACTTGTGCAATATTCTTGCAACCAGCACCTACTCACCAATGGTTCTATCGACAGCATCATGGTCAAGATACATAAAGTTCTGATGTAAAGAATTGATGCTTGTGCTACTGGTGATGGTTATAACATAAAATCAAAACATTTAACTGTCCTAAAATCATCTGTTTGGGAGATCATCAACATCCCATTGATTCACTGGAGCAGACATGGTAGAAAAGAAGGATAGTTTCAAAGAAAGACAAATGGCTGCTAGTGAGAGTAGTAAATATAAATCCCAAGACAATATCCAGATTAACGAAAACCAATTTTCACAGGTAGCAATTACACAAGTTCTCTGTAAAGGAGACTTTGAAGGCCTGCTGTTTTTAAAAGATGGTATTATTGAAGAAGCAGCACTTCAATGTTTCTTTTGAAGCTTGTTGAAGGACTTTTTCAAAAAGATTAAATGTCACATGGTGCTTTATTCTGTGCTCTAACAAGAGACAATAATATTTCAAAATGGCTGGCTGTAAGTCCAGTAGAAAATATATGGTGAGGGAGCTAAAGAAAAGACCATCTAATTTGTAACATAAGAATATACAACTGAAGATAGTTCCTTCAATTGTATTAGAAGCTCACTGAAAACTAACCTTAAAGATTGAAATAAATTGGGAAGCAAAAAAGAGACAATATTCAGTGTTCATCAATGAATATTGCCAACAATGTTGAATCAGCCAGTTATTTTGATTTAGTATTTGACTTGTAGCAAATAAATTCTTTTGTAAATTTTGTTTATTATTCATTAAACACTTGTGTATATATATTGACCAAAACTTATGTAGACATTAATTGTAACAAGATATCTAAAATAAAAGCCATTTTTGAAGAAGGGTGCTAATAATTGCATACATGACTAATAATTATTTTATTTTGTTTAAAAAGACATATGTTTACATATTGTCATAAGAAAACTTTTGGTTAAAATAACCTTTTCACATTAAAGTCATTTTCTAAGTGAAAATTGTATATAAAGGGATTTTTTTTCTTTTTAAGATCAAAAGTTGACATTTTATTATCTTTAGTTTAATTTACGCAGAGCAACCATGAATTTAAAGTAATTAAATTTTTTTTCCAGAGACTAAAAAATTCTTTTTAGCACTGAGCACAGTTGGGACTGATTTTTCTTTGATGACAAATCTTTTTACCAAAAAAACCAGAAGAGATTTAAAGGTAAATTTTTCTTATCAAATGACATTTGAGATTATGTAATTTATTTTCTGATTTCTGAAATAAGTTTTATCTATTTTGGCAAAATTCTTGTTTATTTTGTCATTCTTGCATTAAAATATGCCATTTTCCTTATACATCTGAAAGTTTTATGCTATTATAATAAATTCTCCAAAAAAAAATTTTTTTTTTTTTTTTTAAATTTCAATTTGGTTTGCAATCATAAATGTATATGTTGAATTTTTTCCAGGTTAGTTGATGGTGCAAATGAAATTTAAAAAAAAAAAAAATGTAAGGATATGTAAAGGACCTGATCATATTTTCTTATTTGTACTCCCAAAATTGTTTTTTAATACTAAATACTCCAAATTTTCACCAGGAAATGTTGTTCTAAATTTAGAATTCTTTGCTTTTGTGATGAACAGCCTCATAGAAGCAAGCGAGCCAAAGTGGCTTGCATCTGGTGTATTGGAAAATAAGGGTCTTACCTTAACATGCAGCATGTGACATCAGCAAGTTTGCTTCATGAAAATGGCATTACTCTCCTGTCCAGCCATTCTAGCAGTATGTGCAATGATGAGAGTTTTTGTACAGATTGGCAATAGCAAGTCATGTGCTGATTGGTCGAACTGGAGGAGGCAATTTGCCTGTGTAACCAAGAATAACAGCGAAGAACACTGATTGGCTGGGGAACCGCGGTGTTGGCCTGATAAAAGAGTGCTGGAGCCGTGAAAAAGGCAGCAGAAACGTTGGCTATACGTAGTGACGTGTGAAGAAAGCGAGGACAGTGAATTGAACCAGCAATATTGTGATTTGTACAAGTGACATTGCAGCAATACAGACTTATTTAAGCTACAGCTTTCTTTCAAGCATTGTTGCTTTTTTCTTTGGTGATATATTCTATTTATTTCTATCAAATGTGATCTTCTATTTGTGTTTATCAAAACTATGAATATATTTTATTTCTGGGTATAATGCAACCTTTCTTTACTATGGCAGGAATGAAATGATTTTTTTTTTTAATTTGGCCAAGAAATCTGTTATTCCAGTTAAATTCTAAGTTTGGATCTCTTTGCATATATTGGGACATAAATTGAAGGTTTCTGCTATTAGAAAAGAAATACATTCATACAAAGTAAATCAACATTACAAGTTGTCGTGGCCAAAAAAATGAAGGCACATATGTTAGTTAGCTGTTTGAAAGTGGTCAATGTACATCATTGATACAAGTCGGCAATTGTTAAAATATAGCGGTCACGCATAATGCAAATGCCACCATTTGAATTTTGACTGCCTTAACCCTCTGTTAGTACTGCAGAACATTGTCACAGAATTAGCACTGTGTAGTTTACAAACACTCCATTTAGAATATTTGAAATGTATCATTTAGTTCTCAATTTTTTTTTTTTGTCCTGTATTATCTTGTATGTTTTTTTTAGTTTTTATTGGAGAAATTAAAACTTTTTTTTTTTTTTTTTTTTTTTTTTAAATCGGATTAAAAAACCAATATTAAAAAAGGAATATGGAATTTCAAAAGTTGAAATATGCAAAAATAGATTTCGTTAATTTACACAAATATTATGGCTAAAACCAGAAACTTTTGGTTACTTAACAGTTATTTAGAAAGGAAAAGCATTTATGGTGTGTTCAAACATCCCCACAGAACTAACAGATTCAATCATAATTGATTGTATCTTGATGAGCGTTATGGCTATTTTATTCTGTGAAAACCACCAAACCCAGATTTTCATACCTCTACCATAAAGCCTGTGTATAATCCTACCAGAATAAATATGTTTTCAAATGGTTGACTTGTGTAAATAGTTCGAAGACTGAAGTAAACTTTGAGTTACCTCCAAAACTGGTAAAATTTAGAAATAAATTCAGTCTGCAAAGAGATATATCACAATGGATTGAATTTTGACACATTTGCTGAACTTAAATTTATGAAGTCAATCAAAACTTATACAACAGATTAGTTGTGTCTTTTATTTATTGTAGTCTTTATGAAAAATAATGGGCTTTAGCAGTCAGACTTTTATTATTCCGAAAAAAATTTTTCAGAATAAATTCAAGCGTGAAGAAAGAAATAACCGATGGTTGGTGGATAAAGCAATCAGTAAGTGTCAACTTTTTAACATAATTTTTTTTTTTTTTTTTATGTAAATGTTTTTTTCTTTTCTAGATGCTAGAAAAAATAAATTACTTGAATGTCTTTGAGGAGTTATCATTATTTATCCTTGGACTAATGACCTCATCTTTAGTTATGTTTCAGCCAGATGAAGGCAGGGGTGGCACAATAGCCAAAATAAGTGTTGTAACATAACTATGGACGATAATGAGTATGTCCCCATTTACATAAATACAGTAGTAAATACTGTATGTTGGTCTGCAGTTGGAGATTCGTCTCCAGCTGAGCTGGTCAAACTCTCCCTCTCAAGGCTGAAAGGATCCCCAGATGAGGTTATGTCAAAGGGCAATCTCTTGTCTTGGGGAAACAGCTACCTGACCCTATTTTATATAAGGCCTAGGGGGAATTTTTGGCCAAGCCTACAAGCTCAGATACCCCCCATTAAATTCGGCCTTTTGCCACATCAGCCCACATGGGGGTGGTTGATAGATATCCTGCAGTTGGAAATTGTGTAATTCACTTAACTCACTTCTAGCAGTTGACTACTACTTCTATGCGTCGCTGGCGAATCTTATATGTGTTGTTCTTGTCCTAAGTATTATCCTTCATTACCAACCTTTGTGTGATTATTCTATTCAGTAACTTTCCCTAGGTTACAACAATAAGTAAATAATGTGAATTGATTAAAGTGTTGATTATGTGTCTACACAAAATTTTGGTTTCAATTTAATTGTTGGCTTACAGCCATATCACATTGAAACAATGCTTAACTTTAGTGATCACTAAAGTTAAGCAATGTCAAGCATGGTTAATACCTAGATGGGTGACTACTTGAGAATACCAGATGCTGTAAACTTAGATGTGCCAGTGGCGTAATGGATAATGACATAAAATCTGAAATCTGAGAACCAAGTTCCAATCAGGTACTTTTATATTCACTTATGTGAAAGGAAACAATTCAGCTCTTCCCCAGCCAGCCAGCCATGAGTTAATTTGTGACTTGTACCAGTAAATTTTTATTTCCAAAAAATTCTTACAATGTAAAAATATTTTCTAGCTTTAAATAACCTGCAAAAGATTGATAACCCATAAAAAAACAAATCAATTTATTTGCTAATAATATTTTTAGACAATGTTAATTACATTTATTTCTCATTTAGAATTTCAATCATTCAATCTGAAAAAACTATCGATACCTGATAAGTCTCATGAAAAAGGCTTGTTCTCATATAAATACTGCATATCCTGGATGTGACAATAAACTACATCTGGCAGCAAGGCCTTCGATCTGGAGGCTTTGAGGAACATGGAACCACCTCTTAATTGCTGTTATTCCCAGATTCACTCAGGCCTGGGGTGGTAACACCTGTTAGGGTCCCAGCCAGGAGCAAATAATTTAAAAAAAAAAAAAAAAAAAAAAAAAACTGAGGTCAAAACACTATGAAAGTGTAAAAATAGGTTTTTATAGTAAAAATATCAGCAATACATTTGACTCTCAACAAAAACCCTCTTTACAAAAATACATCAATGAAACCCGATCTACAAATTGATTTCTTACAAAGAATACATATTCTATTCATATGAACCTATCCTAAAAATCTTGTTGGCATTAACTGTCCCATAGCCGTAAGACAGAATAAACCAAATCAATATAAATCTTACTTATTATAAAACGCAGATTGTGTGTGTGTGTCTGTACTTTTATATATTGGATTGGATTTCCTGCATTTTTCAACTTATTTCAACAAAACTTCACAGGACTATGTAAAATTACCTTGCGGTGGTTCTGACAGCACCAAAAGTTGGAAAAATACAATTGTTTTTGCATGAAATCAATTTGAAAACACAATAAAACACGATTCTGTCGCCAGAATGAAAGGGGGACAACTCATATCAAGTTATACTTATTATAAAACCCAGGTTGTGTGTGTGTGTGTGTGTGCATGTGTGTTCGCTTAGATATGGGATCGGATTTCATACATATTTTAACCGATTTCAACAAAACTTCACTTTTTTAATTAAGACATGCATGTCCTTCAACCTTAAACAATAATCTTTGTCAATTTTATTTTTCAGTCTTTATGATGGTCGATACTTGATCTATCTCTTACTGTTACATCTCCGGGCAATGCCGGGCTCTACTGCTAGTACTGTATAAAAAAAAAAAAGTCCATGTATCATAAAATTTTGTTCATATTCCTAACCAAATTTTATGCATGTCATATTCAAGATATTTACTTTTTACTATTTCTTATGCTCATACAACACCCCACAGTAACACTCTATCTTGAGTGGCTCTTAGGTGAGCATTAGTATAAAAAAATATTTCCCCCTCAAATTGTGCACCAACATGAGCTCAGCTTTGAGTGACTGTATTTATTTTCCTCTGGTCACATGTAACACACCAGTCTGAGCTTGTCAGGCTAATCCCTATTGAATCGGTCTAGGGCTGGTAATTCATTTCTATAGAATATGTTGGTATAAATCTGATTAAAAAAAATTAATAATATATTGTGTATGTGTCGTTTTGTTTTTTTTGTTTCTCTTTTCTTTTTTTTTTTGCTTTACACAAGGCACAAGAGCCACTCAGAGTAGAGGCTTACTGAATGAGATTGTTTTATGGCTGTAAGAGAGTAGGTAAGGAATGCAGACTATGAGGATATACAGGATAGATAACTGTTGAAAAGGATAAGAGCTGAGCAATCAGGAAAACATCCTCTCAGGAGTCTCTTCAGAAGTTCTCTTCCAAGAAGAAGCTGTCTGAATGGAATGTCCTTACCAAAGGAATATGAAGGGAATGAGGATGATTCGCTCCTATGGATGTGGCATGGTGGATCTTAAATGCAAAGGTGGAACCAAAGAATGTAGCTTGTCAGAACACTTTCCATAGAAATAGTGATTGAGTAAAGAGAGGCTTGCACTGTTTCATCTATGGGAAAGTGGTTGTAGGATGGCAAATAATTCATCACCCACAAGGCCACATAGATACTTTGGAACTCAAGGTTGGAAAATTAGGATTGTGCATCTCCAATCCAGATGTGGTAGCAGTATTCCATTTTTGGTTTGATCTGACTCTGATAATATCTGATAACTTGCCATCTCCCTTGATTCTGGTTATTAGACAATATAACCCCGTCATGTCTCTCTCACTACCAATAAACTTGGGCTATCAAATTATCTGCCTACTAGAGGTTATTGTGGAGAGTTTGATTTTTAATTTTATTCAGAAAACTCAAATTTTTTTTCTTTGATAGCTTTTTAGTTGTGGGAAAAAATTAATACTATGGAACACTAAAATATACTTCAAGATATTATTGGATTTGTGAAAAATCCAAGGTGCATTTTCCACTTCATGGATAGAACACAAAATATTTTTAATTATAAACTAGAAAAACTATTATTTACCATTCTAAAATTAAATATTCATGTACACAATAGAAAATAGAAATAAAAAAATTAAGAATTTCAGAAAACAATTTTAATTTTTCTGAATTTCTGGGAGTACTCATTATTTGCATTGTGATAATAACAGCAAAGATGGGGATATTAGTCCAAATGTAAATAGTGTAAATAAGAATTTGTCACTTAAGATTAAAAAGGCTCTATCTGCATTTTTTTTTTTTTTTTTTTTTTTGTATCTAAATTAAGGTCCATAGCATATTCTCTCTGCAACGTCTGATATGACCAATTAAGTTTTGTAAAATGTAGAAGTATTCACTCATACCCTAAAAGTCCTAAATTTGGGCTTGTGTTCATGAGGAAAAACTACAAACACACACAATATCAATAAAAAACATGGTATATTGTATGGTAATTTCATACAATTTTATTTATGTATTTGTGTGTATTGCGGTGTGTGTGTGTTTTATGTTACAGTTGTGATAATGTTATAAAAGGGAGTAAGTGTGTTGTCATCCCGACAATTCTTGGAAAAGAGTGAATCTCATATCTTTTGGCAAGATGTCCATATTTCCAGCAAGAACAGTCCCTGTTGCATGCTGGGAGTAATTTTATTATTTTTATTTTTTTATTTATTTTATACAAGGTTTAAATTTTATTTTATTTATAATTTTTCATTATTATTTTATATTTTACTTTTATTTATAATAATAACAATGTATCTACAACAAAAATTTTCATTTAATCTTGAGAAAATTATATGTAATACATAAAAACATGTTTTTGTCATTTCCAGAATTTGAACTCAAATATCTCTATATTTATATAAAGCTATAAAAAGTGCAGATAGAACCTTTTTTTAATTTTGGTTGACAAATTGCCATTGTAATAAATTAACTACAGATATTACTATTTGTTTGTGTATGATGAGGGTTGAAAACTTCTCATACTAACCAAATTCCTAAAATCTGACCAAACATTAAAAGTTTGGGGCAAGAACTTTTTACCTCCCCCCCCTCTGATATACGTCTATCTGTGGATACATATACTAAATTGATTATATAGGTGATTGTTAATATCCTTAAGGGACAACAATAAGCAAAATACCAGTTCTAGGGAAAGTTTAATATTTGTTAATTTGTATACTAGAATTCTTAATATTAAATACAAAGAATTCTTTAAGTGGCTCTTTTTTTATGTTTTTTTTTTTTTTTTTTTTTTTTTTAGAGCAACAATTACAGTTTGATGAAAAATTATTTGAAGAATTGTCAGAAAGTGAAGAGGAGGAAGAAGAGCCGCCAACTAAAAAGAGTCGACAGAAGAAAGAGTCTTCTGAGTCTCAGAAGAAGAAAGACAACAAATCTGGCAAAAATAAGAAGACACCAAAGTCAGATTCTTCTTCACCCATAAAGAAAGCAAGGAAATCAAAGAAAAGTTTGTATTTTATTGACTTTTTATTTCATATTTTTTTTAAATGATTTTCTAATATCAAAATATTTTCAATCTTAAAAGTTGATCATAAAGGAAACATAATTCACTAAAGCTTTTATGTCAATTTTGTATGTTGAATTATGTTGTAAAATAATGTGTGTGTCTGTGTGTTATGGAGAAATTGATGGTTCAGGCAGGGGAAGGATTAAGGTACTTACCTGGCTTGTTGGTTCTTGTTGACTAAAAGCTGTTACTTTTTTACTAATTTTTTTTTATAGTTACAGGGTCTCATGACTCGTTACCACATGATCCCTGAAGTGATTATAAAGGAAATGTTTTTTCCTTCTTTTTTTCACTCTTCTTGTAACTCAATGTAAATTATCAGCCGATTAAGCTATGTCGCGGAAGGAAATATTTTTTGCAACTTAAGGTAAGTACTTTTGCTCCTTTCCTTGGCCTGCACCCACCGTCTCTGGACATTTGGTCGGGGGTAGATTTTCTCAACACTGTGTGTATTGAATAATGCTCTTCCAAGGACTATGGGGGTAACCAGTAGAGAAGAGAAAGGAACAGGAGGAAACAAAACAACACTGCCACAGAAACCACAGTATGGTGAGTGACAGACAACTTTAGGAACAACATATCCAAGGGAATGACTTCACAAGACAGTCTCGCCCACTGCCGACTGCCATCACTTTTATCGGCATGAGACAGCTGACAAAGACTCATATCTGGATAAGTTGCAGAGAGACCCATATCTAGACATGCCAAGCTGTGCTGCTGCCAACAGAAAACCCCAGATGTAACTGGTTTTGATAGACATGACTGCACTCAACTTGGAGCCTTTATTGTGACTGTACTGATGCACATTTGCCACAAATTCATCTATAGTAGATATTCATATTGAAACATTCTACTTTCCACCTTTACTGGACCCAGTGCTTTGTTGTGTCAAACATTCCGAATAATCACTTGCTCATGGGTGTATCCATAGCTGTTGAAATCTATTGTATTTTTGTTTTATGGGCATAACATCTGCGCTCTGTCTCACCATCTTTGTACAGCTTTAGGGGTTTATGACCATATCATGCTGAAAAACAGGTTTTCATCTGGTAACCAAAGGTAAGTAATGTCAAGCCTGATCAGTACCTAAATGGGTGACCACTTGGGAATGTCATCTGTTGTAAGCTTGAATGTGCAGGTGGTGTAATGGATAATGGCTCAGAATGGAGAAAAAGGAGAGCCGAGTTTGAATTCCAGTCAGGTTCATTATATTCACTTACATGCAAATACCCTTGCGAAAGGTATGAATCCACCACTTCTCCACCCCCAGCTATGAGTTAAATAGTAGGATATCAGAAAGTCATTATCTCCAAAAGAAATTCTTATCAAAAATATTTTCTGGCTTTAAATAACCTGCAAACGGTTTATAAGCAAATAAATCAATCAACAGATTTAGGTGGTGATTGGGTTTTAAATTCAGTTGTCCTCCTCCTAGACTGGTTGCTAACCATGGCTAGAGAGTCCAGTCTATTTAACCCATATCTGGGAGGAGAAGAGATGGATTCATACCTTTCCCTAGGGTATTTGTGCAAAAGTGAATGTAATGGACATGACCAGAAATTGAACTCACCAATTTCTCATTCAAAGCCTCTAATCATTACACTAACAACATATCTTATTGATATTTTTTGTGCAATAATGCTTTGAGCAGAACTTCTGGATCTTTCTTTTGTTAATTTCTTTTGACATCGTTTTGTAATGGGATGTGGAAAGGCATGCACATCTATATTTATTATATACTGTACCTATGAACATTAATGGGCATGCCCCAATCCTCATAAATATGTTGGACACTATTCTAAGTTGGGGTAATATGCCGTCTAAGTAGTCCCATACTAGCAGTGGTTTACTTACTTCGCACCACTAGTGAGTATTGTATTTTGTTGATGTTATAAAGATTACCATTTTATTTCCAACCTCCATTTTGGTTAGTCCTCATTCAGTAACATTTTCTAGGTTATAACAATGTTAAATCTGCTTCATGAGAGAAATTAAGTGAGCACTTCTCTTTATGCCTTATCATAAAAGAATAAATTGATGCCTACTAACGCAGTCTTTTATTGACCATAATTTGCTGAAACGTTTTTTTTTTTGTTTTTGTTTTTGCTATGCAAATTTTGAATGCACTAAAATTTCTTTTTTCATCAGTATATTTGTAAACAACCAATTAGCGTATCATCTCTTCTGGTAGAAAAAAATATTCTTCAATCCATGATTGCCAATGTTCTTCTGCATGACTTCCTATAGCAGTGTTTATCAACCATTTTTTTTTTTTTACTTCAGGGTGTCCTTGTAGAAGTAGTAAACTCTGAAGTACACTTTAAAATTTAATGAGGAAAAATTAGTTGTGAAATTTGAAAATAGAATAAGAAGGAAATCTGAAATAAGCATTTATTTTTAAGAATTTACATTGTCTATTTAAGTATACTTGTGTGAAACTTGTGCTTGATGTGTTTTGGTAACTTTTTGAATGCTAGCTCTTATATGTTATATACTGAGGAAAGCGAAAGGGAAAAGATTATCTACTCTTTCTTAAAGATTAATGATTTTAGCATTCAGTTGAGAATATCAAATAACAATGACTTAGACATGGAAGCCATGTGCATGGTGTCTATAACTTTTTAAAAATAAAGATTTTTTTTCTTTTTTTAAATATAAAAATAACTCCTAAATTGTTTTTCTGTTAACTTTTGGCAAATCTAGTTACCTTTCAGGGTGCATTGGTGCACCTGCTCTGTAGTATATCATTCATATGGTGTTCTTCTCTGATGTGCAAAATGGGCTTAATTTCTATATTTAAATATTGATAAATTGCTTAGCACTTTGGTGCTATGTTATTATTATTATATAGGAGTTAAAGATCTCTTAAAAAAATTATTTATGCAAATAGAAATCTTCTCTTTCCCAATCAAAAAAATTGACCTAGCTGCATATATAAAAAAAAAAAAAAATTTTTTAATAATTATATTTCATAACCTAATGGTTTTCTTAACAATTATTGGGAGAGTGGTACCTTCCACTTTCTCGAGCTAAAGTTTTCAGTAAAGTGGAAAGATTCTATTGAATCAATTACAAGGTCTACTGCTAAGAACGTTAGTGCACCATGTTGTTCTTGACAATTTTTCTTGCTAGAATCTATCTTATGCACTTATAGGTCTGCTATCCATTCATGCATTGGATATTTCTGCCACATTAGGTCTAGTGCTTCTGCTATACATTTAGAGCATCTTGATAAAATACAAAGAAGAATCTGCAATGTTATTGATCATAACCTGGCATCACATTCTTACCGCTGTAATGTAGCTTCACTGTGTTTATTTTCTATAAATATTTTCATGGTAATTATTATAATGAGCTTTCCTTCTTGGTACCTAGACTTTATAAATTTAAGCATACTACTCAATTGGCAGCAAGGTCTCCTCATTTTACAGTTGAGATGGTTTTTATGTAACTGTAAGTTCTATGCTAACACTTCCTTCTGGCACTTCTCGCTTGTGGAACTCTCTTGCACTCCAGTCAACCTTGATCTTCAAAAAATTTAAATGCAATGTCAATCATTATCTTCTGTCATCTTAATTCCTGTGTTCTTTTATTGTTTGCTCTCTTTAATGTTTTCTTTTTCTTATATTTTCTCTCACTCAATAACCCATCGTCTTAGTGGCTTTATTTCCTTGTTCGTGATAAAATGATTAAAAAAATAATTCTTTTCTTTTCTGTATTTTTCAGTTAGTAACAAAGATTGGATTATTGGTAGCCAAGATGACGAGGAAGAGGAAGAACCAGAGGACATCGTGGAAGAAATTGTTGAAGAGGAACCAGTTCATGATGAGATGTTGATTGTTCCAGAAAATGTTCCTTTCTGTGATGATGCTCTCATAAGGTTTGTCTTTCTCCATCTTTGTCCTTCCCATCTTAGACTTTTCCATTTTATCTTCCATCAATTCTCTCAAGTTACTCTTATCAAAATGGATTTCATTGCATTGTCATGATTCCTTATATCTTCAATATTGATGCCAAGAACACAAAACACTTAACATTGGTTTTGTTACTAGCGAAATTAGTCACATCTATCACAATTATGGTCTTAGTTATAATTTTATTTTTAAAGTTACTTCCAATTAAGATACTAGATTTTATTTTGAAAATAAAGAACTTAATAGTATCATTATGTCTTAAGGAAATTTTTGGCAACAAGCTGACATCTTTGTTGAGATTTACAAACCCTATGTTTCGTTCAATTTCACAAACCAATCAATGAAATTTGAATAGGCTGATTTGTTTGAATTTGACAAAAAACTCTACTTTGCGGTTTAACATTTTCTTTAATTTTAATTTAATTTTATAGGACTTCATGGATAACAATATTTTTTAAGAAAATTTCTTTTTTCCTTTTTAACAGCAAAAAATAAATCCTTAGGATTTCTTACTCTTGAGCATGTAACATACTTGTCATGTGTAAATATTTCTTTTTGGAGCCAAATACCAACTTCTTGAAGCATTTGGCCTTGTGATTTGTTTATAATTCTCACAAATGCAGGACAAACTGGAAACTTGATTCTTGTTTAAAAAAAAAAATTAATGTTTGCAAAGCTATGAAAACACCTAAAAAGTAGTTGAAATCTAGTCGTTTTCACTCAAAAAACAACTGATTTCAGCTAGTTTAAGCAGCTTATGTAAAGTTAAATTGAAAATAATTTAATACTGTTCTTTGTACCCTCTTAGCAGCTTGCACTTCTCTCCAAAATTTCGTTTCAATTGGTCAATGTATGACTATTTTAGCAGGTATGAGAGACAAACATAAATTTATATATATAGATAAACCAAAGATAGCAAGACTTTTATTTCTAGTGACATATTATACACTGAAAACAGATTTCATCAGGAATAATTTAAACCAAACTCTGCAGCATTGAAAATCTGTTACCAAAAATATGATCATAGTGCTATCCAATGATGAGTACATGAGAAAAGTATTGTATTCTATATAGTAAGTATATTTTTTAACCATTTTCTTATGGATTTCAGTGTAGATTAAATTATAATAAAATATTTCTTATAAAGGAAATAAATTAACCAAAAATATCCTTTAGGTAGTAAAAAAAAAAATGATAATTGAATGTTTCTCTTGTGAGAGGTTGAAGGAGTGAAAATGTGGCCTTATAACTTCAATTCATACACATAGAGAAATGGAAAAGAAAAAAAGATAAAGTGTAAATCAAAAATTTTTCTATTCCAGATGTTGTTGGGATGGTTTACAAAAATTTTTTTTCTTTTTTTTTTCCTCTTTTTTTCTTTTTTTTTTCCTCTTTTTTCCTCTTTTTTCCTCTTTTTTTCTTTTTTTTTTCCTTTTTTTTCCTTTTTTTTTCTTTCTTTTCCTCTTTTTTTATTTCTTTTCCCTCTTTTTTTCCTCTTTTTCTTTTTTTTTTACCTCTTTTTTCTTTTTTTCCTCTGTTTTCCTTTTTTACTTTTTTCTTTTTTCTTTCTCTCTCTCTTTTTTCTTAATTTTCATAATTTTTAAGAATTTTTTTAATAAAAAGATTTTTTTACACATTTATTTCTTTAAGAAATGGTAAATAATATATCTTTATAAAAGGTAAATAATAAATATTGCATTTTACTTATTTTTATAATCTTGTAAATAAACATTGCCAAGGGAGTGAGGGTAATACAAAACTTTTAACACTATTTTTTTTTTACAGGCACAAAAGTTACTTTGCAGTGACTACTTTAATTTGAATCTGTCTAATTTGCTTATTTTAGCAAATCATAATTTATATAAATTTTAAGTTTTTCTTCATAAACTCTACACAGTAATACTTTGTTTGATAATTTAGAAAGTGGGCCATTTCAAGATGAATATTTTATATTCCTTAGTAGCCTCAAAGAAAAAAAGATTTGCTCTCCTGTTGATCTTAAGTCAACCTTAGTGGCAGAAATTTTAGCCTTAGTTGACATTGCCAATTCAGGAATTTGCCTCAGTGGTACTTTCTATATAGTGCTGCAACTCCAGGATAATTCTACCTTTTGGCAGGTGTTATGAAGATAACAAATCAAGTTGAATCCATGCATTTCATTAAATTAATATAAAATCTGCAACTCAGAATAAACATGGCTGTTCTACACAAAAACTGTAAAAGGAGATATTCAGACAATATTCTATGTACAAATGAGCCATCAACTTATCTTTTAACTTAAAGATGCTGCAATGGGGACTTTTGTAAACAATAAGAAAACAATTGGGATTGCATTAATCGTGACTATTGCTGAATGCCACTATTTTCATAGATCATTTGATTGATTATAGCCAGCTGGCAAGCTAGCTTAGTCAAATGACCAGGATGAGGAAAGAATAAACAGTGTGGTATTATGGGATAGGGAGTGGGTATATTTATCACTGGTAAAAAAAGTATTATACCTTGTATGTTTAACAACATATATTTTTGGCAACAGTTTCAGTGTAGAAGTTGGCCATAAATAATACTGGAGAATCTCCATTTTGATTGCATAATGTCCAACAAGAAATAAAATCCTGCTGTTTTAAATAATATTAACTGTACAAAATAAAAATAAATATAAAGTGGTTAGGTGTATATTGTTAAAATACAAAATGTTTACTATTCAAGAACAGATCACTAAAATGATTGGTAAGAACAGATTAACTAATGTAACATACTCATCAGCCTACCTCAGTGAATTTGATTAAAAGGAAATCTCTCAAAGAGGGCAAATTCAAAATAGCTGCTACATGATGAGGATTTCCAATCTGATTGGTTCATTAATCATATGCTAATATTGTTTTTAATGTAACCTTTCAAGGCCATAGCTGTATTATTTAAATAATAAAATGATGACCGCATTAAACATTCTGCCTACAATTATCCTCTCTATCCAAAGCAAGATTCTATATTTTTTTCCAAATTTACTGAAGGAAGCCTCCTGATAAAAAAGAAATGTTTAAAATGTGAAGATTATTTTGAGAAATGAAAAAAAACAAAAAACAATTCTTTGTAAAAATCTATGAAGATAAGGACAAAAGTATTCCCTCCTTTATAGGGAACTAAAATGTTTTTGTTGCTGTACAGATTTATAAGTGTAAATTGCAGTGTTGTATGAACCATTTCAATGTTGTTTTGTTTTTCACAAAAAAGCTTTTTGTATTAATCCTGATGGTCTTCAGAGACATAGTATTGCTGAAAACTGCTGTGTTTTAATCATTATTGAAAGCTTTTGGAAAATGTTTATATTCTTTATAGAAAAAATGTTTAATTATTTTGTACATAATGTGCAAACCCAAATAATTAAAAAAAAAAAAAAAATCATTTACACTGGTAAGAACAGGATAGGTTTTTTTTTTTATTTATTAGAATCAGTTTTAAAAAATGATTAACAATTTTAATCAACATTATGGGCCTGATATCTTCAGCTTTATTATACATGAGAAAAACAAAGAATCTGCAGTCCATATAACATCAGGACAACTTTCAAAAACTGGACGACACTTCGCAGATATCTCTTGAGTAAGACCCCCCACAGAGGAGAACATGATTAAAGACTGTGTGTATCCTATCCCGAGCAGCTGCAGAAAGAAATATAAAGGGGAGACAGGTCGCCTCCTTAAGGCTTCAAGAAAGCTGTAAGACGAGGGGAAGTGGAAAAATCAGGCATGGCTGACTACATATGGAGAGAAAAGGGAGATCACCGCCCTCTGTGGGACCAGGTTGAGATCATAGACAAAGAACACCATTGGAAAATATAGTAAACTTAAGGAATCAGCACATATGGTAAGCCACAAAAATCTCTTGAGCCGACTGAGCATAGAAATGAATACAATATGGGAACTAGTAATAAGGAGTGCCAGAGAAAAGTGATAACAACAACAAAAATTGCAATATGAGCTCTGGTAAAAAACATGCAATGATAACAGCAAAAAATTACAATATGAGCACTGGTAAAAAATGGTTGCTGAAGACATTAGGTTTATAATACCCAGAAATTCATGCACAGATGTCCTCAAGGTGTAAGTTAGATCCAGTGACAGTACCCAAAGAGTGCGAGTTCATTACCCGGTTAAGGCAGTAGATAACTTTCAGAGGGAAAATTAACAGATAACTGATAACTAACAACTAACATCCATTAAACATGGCACCCCAGTGAGTGAAATAAAGTGTTCAGTTTGACATTCCAACCACCTGAAAAAGGTTGGAGTGTACAACATCTGAAACATAATAAATATGGCGACAAAGATGAGGACAATAGTCTGAATAATGTAAATAGTGATAATAAAAACAAGATTACTGGAGAATTAGCCAATCAAAATTTAAAAAAAAAAAAGAACATTTATATACTGTAATAAGTCTTTATATAAAACATGGCCACTTGTTTTAGCCAAAGTTAACTTGAACTTATATGATTTGTAACTGCAGTAACCTTCTTTTTTTTTTTTTTCCTTTTTTTTTCCTTTTTTTTCTTTTTTTTTCCTTTTTTTTTCTTTTTTTTCCTTCCTTTTTTTTTCCTTTTTTTTTTTTTTTCCTTCCTTTTTTTTTTTCCTTCCTTTTTTTTTCTTTTTTTTCCTTCCTTTTTTTCTTTTTTTTCCTTCCTTTTTTCTTTTTTTTTCCTTCCTTTTTTTTCTTTTTCTTTTTTCCTTCCTTTTTTTTTTTTTTTTCCTTTTTTTTTTTTTTTTTTCTTTTTTTTTTTTTTTTTTTTTTTTTTTTTCCTTTTTTTCCTTTTTTTTTTTTTTTTTTTTTTTTTTTTTTTTTTTTTTAAACTTAATTATACATATCTTAGAAATTTGCTTGTAAAGGTTTATAAGCTTTTTAATTTGGCAGAAAGCCATATCAAGTTTGTAGAAATTAATAAATATTATCATCGACAGTCATTAAGTGTATAAAGTGGAAACACATCCAGACAAATGAATATATTAGGTGATGAAAATCAAATGGCTTAAGAATATTCTTTTAATTTCCATGTAAACATACTTTTTCATGATTTGCTTTTATAATTATAAATCATTTTCATTTTTCTTTGACTTGCCAATTTGATTCAATTGCATGCGAATCCAAGATTTCATTTTTATTTTTCATTTTAGTTAGAGGCAACAAAATTGTTATCAAGTTTTTGTTAAGGTATTTTACAAAAATGTGGTTTAATATTCAATAAAATTTATTTTGTATCAAAATTTTATTAATTAAATGATCTCTAATAATTGCTAAATAATTTTATTAATTAAATGTTATTTAATAATTGTTAAATAAAATTATTAATTAAATGATATCTAATAATTGCTAAATATTTTTTTAATTAATTCCTGTTAACTTTTGTTGTGATGACCTAAATTCATAGCTAACAAAAATACAATTTGATATTAACTTTTAATAGCAATTTCTGTTCAAATATAATCTTCACACTTTGGCATTTTTGAAAGAATTTGATTTGTTTTCCATGTTCCTAGAGAATTTTTTTCCAGTTTTGTAGAAGTTACATTTAATAGTTTGCTTAATCAATTTTGAATTTAAAATGTTGTTCAGGTTAATGTAATGAAGTGGAGATGTTGATTAAATGATAGCATCAGATTTTAATTTGTTTTACTTAACATTTTATCCACTCCAATATTTTGTCAACCTGTCTGTTGTATGCAAACAGCCCTGGATGTCATTTGTTTAATACATGGACCCTACATTCTCTATCTGCAGTATGTGAGAGACTGCCTGGAACCATTGTTTATATATCTGTCCTAATAACAAAAGTGATAAAAACAAAAAGAAATTAAATGAAATTAGACTATATACCCAAGTACATCTATTAAAAAAAATATGACTTTAAACATTTAAAATTTCACCTTTGTTTGGTTATATCAACAGAAACCTTACATCAGTCCTAAAATTCTAAAGGACAAAACATGTCACACAAAATATTTTTTTCTACTTTGTCATTATTTTTCTTAACCTATTCATCTGTCTATCATTTTCATTCTTACAATGCAGGATGCAACTCACATACTTCTGCATTCAGTTGTTCCAACTTGCATACTTCTGCATTCAGTTGTTGCAACCGACCCCATGTCAACTCTTTGATACACTTGGCTTCCTTTTGACAGTTTGGTGTGAAATTTGAGTGCATTGTCCATTCTGGTATAATACTACATTAAATTTGTTTGCTTATCATTTCCAATTTCCATTAAGCCTGCAGGTCTGTGTAGAAGATAATATGAAAATATGAGCAATAGTCCATAAACAATTAAAACTGACAATTCTCTCTCTCTCTCTCTCTCTAAATGAAGAAAGAAAAACATGACCTGAATTTTATTTTTTTCATATAGTTTATACAAAATCAGAAAGAAATATGATGGTTAAAACCATTGAATACAATAATTTCTAAAACAGTTTCATTTAACTAAGTGCAACATTAATAAGATAATTCTTATTTGAAGACATATTGCAAAAAAGATTTTAGTTCCAATTTTTTATAATAGTAGAATTGTGCTGCAAATACCAAATAATATCAACTTAGTTAATGGGTGATCATGGTTCTCCACCATTTCCTCTCCCTTGTAGCATTAACCAATGTTTTTCCCCTTACAACCTCTCCCTGTTAATGTTCTGTTATCCATTTGCACAAGTTCATTAAGTTGGTTACATCCAGTTTCCCTTCTGCTCTTGAGCGTCAGATTCTCCAAGCCTTCTTTCCTCATTATGTGTCCTAAAATTACAACTCTTTTTTTCTGATCCTAAGTAAAGAGTCCTTTTTTCTTTTTCTTTTGTTCCATTTTCCTTAAAACTTTCCTGTTTCTCATATATTCCAGTTATGATATTCTCAGCATCCTTCTGTAGAACTACATTTCTGTTGCCTCAAGTTTCCTCTTCATCTGTGAGGAAATTTTCTAACATTCACTGCCATATTGGAGGATTGATATTCCACAGCTACATAATGGAATTAACCATATATTTGTGACCTTAGCAAAATTTGTAATAGCTCGTTCAAACTACTGTCCTCATTTTCATTATCACAATCTATCAGCCAATGTGCTCCTCAGCCATTTGGGGTGTGTCAGTTCGAGTAACAGTCAGGAAATTTTGAACTGAAGTCTTTATTAAATCTATGATGATAGATTATTCTTGTTCTACTGTCTATATCGAAGGATACCTTGTTCTCTTTGTAATACTAGTCACTTAGTCAACAATTACTTCCCATAGTTTAAAAAACTTAATGAAGGTTACCCAGATCACAGACACTTGGGGGAACTTGGAACACTGTGCCTGCAAAAAAAATGGCCTGGCAAAAGGACTGTTTTTCCATTGACACTGCTGTTATTTTAACTACCTTCACTCTCTTGGAAATATTGTTTTAAAAAGCAATGATTAGAATTGAAATAAAACTGAAACATATGACAAAAGTGAATTTAGGCATTTTTTTTGTTTTTGAGAATTTACAACAAAAATATTAAACACCATTAGATTATTTTTTTTTCATTTTATATTTATTGCGTTCTAAAAACTAATACAGTTGTATTAAAACTAATGCAATGCAGTATTTATCATTTACCAATTTTATAAAGAGATAAATATGAAAATAATTTTTTATTCATAAATTTATAAACATTTACTAAATTATTAAAATATATGAACTGCAAAGAAATCCTTATTTACCATTTTACAAAGTTCAAATCAATTGGCAATCAGCCGATGTTTTGCCAACCATTCCAATAAACAATAGTTTTTTATTATTTCTGTTGTAAATTCTCAGCAACAAAGATGTATAAATTCATTTTTATATGTTTAGGTTTTATTAACATTTTTAATCTTTGTTTTTTTAAAACAAATATTGCTGTAAACATAGTTAAAATAATAGCAGTGTCAAAGGAAAAACTGCCCCTTATTTGCGACCACAAAGGTCAATGTATACCAAAAAAAGATTGGTATGAATGTAAATAATATAAATAACTCCTGATCCCAGACAGAAATTTAAAATCTTTTCCAACTAATACTTATGTCATTTGTACCATCGACTCACTGCCTGTTTTTTTTGGGTTTTTTTTATAAGGACCTGGGATTTAATCTCTATCCATAAGTCTTTTCTGACTGATTTTTCTGTTTTTAATGAAAGAGTGCTTCTAAATTTATACTCAGACATTTGGAAATTAGTCAAATTAGTAGATCAGCTGATTGAATGATGAATGCTAGGCTTAAAGTAAAATGTTTTTTGACTGATACTTGACTTAATATAGAAAATAACTAATTGAGAATGGTTTTACTTTAATCTAGTAATTGTTTATGCTAAAGGCAATTATAAGAGAAGTGAAATCTTCCAGACTCTTAATGTCTTAATCCTTTAGAATTTGAATGGAAATAAGCCAAGTCTAGAAAAATTTAGAGAAATTGACATCTTTTGCATTCAATATTTTTTTTTTTGTTTAATGGTGTATATTGTCAATTTATATCTTTTTAAGAAAAAAAAAAGTTAGATATAAAATATAAATATTTCCACTATTTACATTGTTCGGCCTATTGTCCTCATCTTTGTTGCCCTATTCATGATGTTTTGGCCGTTGTGCACTCTGGTCTTCTTCAGGTTGTTGGAATCATAGACTGAACCCTTTATTTCATGGCCGAAACGTTGTGAATATGGCAACAAAGATGAAGACGACAGTCTGAACAATGTAAATAATTACAATAACTCATCTCAAAAATATAAACAGATCCTGAAGAAGGCCGGAGCATATAATGGCCAAAATATCATGAATATGGCAACAAAGATGAGGACAATAGTCCAAACAATGTAAATAGTGTAATTACAATACCCCATCTCAGAAATATAGGCAAAAAAATATAAAGTATGTTTTTGTTAATGGAATGGGGGAGGGGGGGGAATAATGTATGTTTTTGTAGGAGAACATTGTCTTATATTTAAATATTTTGAGACCATCTTAACCTCACATTTTCCACTGATATGAAGTGGAGCAACTATATTGAACCAATTGCTGCATCTACTGCAAGGAAAGTTGGTTCACTGTATCATGCCAGAAGATTTTTCTCATCAGAGTCTCTTGCACATTTAGAAATCTACCATTCATCCGGGTATTGAATATTCCTGCCATATCGGGTCTGTTTCTCCTGCTGTACATCTCCAAGATTCTTGACAAAATCTAAAGATGGGTCTGTAATGTAATTGATCCTGACCAAGAATCTCAGCTTCAGTCACTTTCTCACCGACATGACATGGCTTTTCTCTATCTTTTCTACAAATATTCTCATGGCAAGTGTTCTGATGACCTTCTTCCCCCCAGTGCCTTGACTACATGAATTTAAGCGTGCTACTAGATTGGCAATTAGGTTTCACTATTTTACTGTTGAACTAGCTAAATGCAAGCACCACTTTTACTCTAACAGTTTCTTTTCTCACACTTCCCACCTATGGAATTTCTTGCTTGTCTGATAACAAAGATCTTCAAAAAATCAAATGCAACATCAATCCCCATCTATCTTGAACCTTGTTCCTTTTTTGTCCTTTCCTCTCCATTCTCTGTTTCCTCATTCTCTTTCACTTTCACTAACACCCTGTGTTCTTGTGGCATTCTCTCTCCCCTCTTTACTTTTCTCTCTCTCTCTCCCCTCTTTACTTTTCTCTCTCTCTCTCCCCTCTTTACTTCTCTCTCTCTCTCCCCTCTTTACTTCTCTCTCTCTCTCCCCTCTTTACTTCTCTCTCTCTCTCCCCTCTTTACTTCTCTCTCTCTCTCCCCTTTTCTTTTCTCTCTCTCCCCTCTTTACTTTTCTCTCTCTCCCCTCTTTACTTTTCTCTCTCTCTCTCTTTTTACTTTTCTCTCTCTCTCTCTTTTTACTTTTCTCTCTCTCTCTCTCCTCTTTACTTTTCTCTCTCTCTCTCTTTTTACTTTTCTCTCTCTCTCTCTTTTTACTTTTCTCTCTCTCTCCCCCCTCTTTACTTCTCTCTCTCTCCCCTCTTTACTTTTCTCTCTCTCTCCCCTCTTTTCTCTCTCTCTCCCCTCTCTCTTCCTCTCTCTCTCTCTCCCCTTTTCTCTCTCTCCCCCTCTTTTCTCTCTCTCTCTCCCCCTCTTTTCTCTCTCTCTCTCTCCCTCTTTTCTCTCTCTCTCTCTCCCCTCTTTACTTCTCTCTCTCTCCCCTCTTTACTTCTCTCTCTCTCCCCATCTTTACTTCTCTCTCTCCCCTCTTTTCTCTCTCTCCCCTCCCTCTTTACTTCTCTCTCCCCCCTCTTTTCCTTCTCTCTCTCTCCCCTCTTTACTTCTCTCTCTCTCCCCCCCTTTACCATTCTCCCCCCTCTTTACCATTCTCCCCCTCTCTCTCTGCTTTTCTCTTTTTTTTTCTTTTCTCTTTTCAATTTACGCTTAGTTTATTCAAAACTTATTTGAGTTGTTTTTCTTACCCTTTCTCTTATTTATTTTTATTCTTTTTCTCCATCATTTATAATTTTCTACTTTAATGATCAATGGACCAACTTTATTTCAAAGTGTTCTATTGAATAACATTGTATCCCACTTCTTTATTAAACTGTCTTAATGCATCATTTTACTTACAATTATTGCCACTTGACCCAATCCATAGCTGGTACATTATTTAAACAAATTAACTGTAAATTATCTACTGTCGCTTTTTATAGCCATCTGTCACTTATATTATTGCCAACTAAGATTGTTTTTATATTTACATAAGTAGCGAGGTAATCATTCTAAGTAATGCAGTTAATCGAAATAAGTGCTCTATAATTTGTTGCATATTCTAAATAGTAAAGTGAAGTTGTATTAATTATTATAATCCACATCAAAGGAATGTTGTTCAGAAGTCCACAAATCTTGAAAATATACAGAAGGGTGGACACAGTTTATACAAGGAGTGCTGAAATGTTCTCACCCCAACACACTTTCCAAAATCATTATTTTAGAATATCTGTTTTTGGAAAGCTGGTTAGACAGAGAAACACATTTGGCCAGAAGCGCCTCTCTCGCAGCTCAAAGAGGATTGAAACAAGCAAGTTCTGGCAAACCTGGTTACAGCAGGCTAAACTTTAAATGCTTCTAGATATTATTTACTAAATCCAATGAAAAGAAACTCTTGGATGGTGATGTAACCAGACTTGGAAATGTTTGATAGTATAAATAATAAGTATAATAATAATAGTGGTCTATTTAAAATTCCTTTCCACTTAAGGAAACTTGCATTAGAGTTATTAGTTATTTTCAAGAATATTGAAAAATTTAAGTTATTTCATTATTTTAAATCTAGACAAACAAATTTTTAACTTTCAACTCTTCCACTCATTAGACACTACTTGTTCTAGACGGAATATTTTAATGCATATCTTCCTGACGTTAGTTTAAAATGACTCCTTCTTTTTTACATATATTTAAACAATTAACTATAATTTTGGAAAGTAAAAAAATTTCACTGAAATACGCTGGAAAATTTTTAATTTTTCATCTGGTGGGGTGGGGGGTGATGAAAAAAAAAACGAACAAAATGGTCGCAACATCTCGTGGCGGGGGAAAAAGAATCAGTTTAAACTGACGCCAGAAGGATATAATTTTACGACTATTTCCATTTTCCTATAGGAAAACACTTACATGTTTATAAATAAATGCAAATATAAGAATGAAATTCTTACTGCTCAAGGGAGGTAACTAAGAATGTTTGTAATACTAAAATATAAGATTTATTCCCTCCTTGCTTCCTTATTTTGTTATTTTACGGTATTGGTACTTGAATTGATAATGTTGTCACCACCATTTAGTAATTTCTTTCAGCTAAATATCTTGCTGAATTTTCAGAAAAAAACGTAAAAAATTTGAAGAAACGTTCTTATAGATTCTCTTCAATGAGATCATTTCAAGTTTCATGATCCTCTTCCAAGCTTGAGTAAGAATTTTGGCATAACGTGTTCATTCAGAATAAATTTAAAAACAACTAAAACAAATATTGATTTCTTCACTTATTGCCTCCCTTAATCATTTGCTGGTATCATTCCGTAATAAGAGCTTTGAATTTCTGATTTGAGAAGTTTATAATTATATTTTCAGTTTCAAGTTAGTTTTACTCATGTTCACTTAGAATTTTTTTCTACTTGCAAACATTTCATACAGTATCTTACTATAAATCACTAAGTGCCTATCATTGCATAACTCAAGGAGAGCAAGTAATACAGTCAATAAATTTTTAGTATTACTAATGGGACTACAAAGCATATTTTTAAAATTACAAAAATTACTTTTTATTTAGATGTTTGATTTAAAATGGAAGCATAATGCTTAACTTGACTCTTACTTTGTGTTCATCAAATTAATGAAACTAAATATTTATCTTTGTGTTTAAATTTACACAGTAAAAATATCTCCCTGAAAATTTCCAAGTCAAAACCAGTTATGACTTTTTGTGATTATTTTTATTTTTATTTTTTTTTCTGACACTAGAAAATTAAAATTTAATTATTATGTTCTTAGTATGATCAGTAATCACCATGGGGAGTTAAGTCTGCGTTTATTATTGCCAGAAGAGGATCAATAAATATGGTTACTTGAAATCTTTTATGAAAATCTCCCACACTCCCTAGATATTTGTGGTCTGCTAGTTCATGATGGTGGCTTTCAAACAAGGTATGATTTAATATCCATAATTAATAGCTGTAATTCTTTATTGAGACCAGGGGCTTCATTAGCTTGAAATTCTGCCCTACGTACTGCAGGTTTTTAACTAGCTCAAAAAAATTCCTCATGCATACTAATCAAAATGTTCAATTAAATAGAAAAATGTCTTGCCAATGTTTCTATTTAATGGCTATCTGCAACTTTCTTATCTGAATTGATTGTGGGGATGCAAAAGATATTGTATTGCTCTTAATAAATTCAGATGAATTTTTTAATGATTGTATTCTCTATTGACTTTGTATTTGTGTTATTCTTGCCTACATTGATTGAAGGAAGGTAACTGGAAAAGATCAGGTGAGGGCAGCTGAAGCAAGAATCTTTCTTATGGTTTGCAAGGGGGGGGAGCAGATTTAATTGTAATAAAATCATTATTCAAGCCTTGTTAGGAAAAGTTTCATGGTACTGATTTTTAGAATTCACACACAGTTTTCTTTATTTTTCTTAATTTGTTTGTTTCTCATTATTACTAGCAGATGTGTAATCTTTGCAAGTTTTTGTGAGGTCACATGTATATGAGCATGAACCACAATACTTGTGGTTTCAAACCAGAAATTGTGATTTTTGTCTTGAATCCTCTGCTTGGACTGTTTGCACGAGGAATTATAATCTCTTGTTTACTTTCTTACATCTACTGAAGAACGTACTGTAATCATCAGTATGTAGTTTCGCTTCGTCTATGATAGGTAAAAAAAATATTGTACTGTTTTTGCGATGCTATATTTTATACTGAAATTTGAATTATAAATTTGCTCAGTTTGAAAACCCATTTAAAAAAAAAAAATTTCTTTATTTGCAAATAAATCTTTGCAATGTATAGTTTTTCATTTATTTATTTATTCTCCATCCAGTAATCTTGTTAGTAAAATGTCATTTCTCCTTTGCTAAATTTTGGTTAATATAATAAAAAATTCTAAAATGTATTTTTATTCTATTATCATTCTCTTAAAATCAGTTGTTTTTTTGTACCTATATATTTTTGTACCTATATATCATGTAATAGAAGATGATTTATGATGATAATCTTTTGTTAATATTAACACAGTTACTTATCTTCCATCGACATTAAATGTTTTTAATAGCTTTTTTATTTTGTTTTTTGTAGAATGCCGCCTGCTGCAGAAAATCAGGCAAAATCAAAGCCAACCAAAGTCCGAAAGGCATCGGTAATGCCTGAAGACCAAACTCAAGAAGAAGAAGTTGTTGGCATTCTAATGGAAATGGGCCAAAGAGGCCTTGCTTCACCCCCCAATCCGAGCAGCAATGTGCCTTCATATGACCAAGTGAACCCCCACAACAAGGCCCCTGCACCTACGATGCCGATGATAAACACCCACTCAACAGCAACAGCTGTGGCATCAAAAGAACCTGAAGTTGCGGGTAGGGCCAAGTCTACACCTGAAGTGTCGACAGGTGTAAGTATACCAGGAAGTAGCAGTGGTGGTGGTGGTGGTGATAGCCATGCTGCTGGAGAGGATGGGGCAGCAGTGACGCCAGCGACTGAGGAAGCCAGAGATAGCGGTTCCCTGGCTCGTCTCTTTTTGCAGCAAATGGGGCTGAATAGTCAGTTGAATGCCCTGCAGGATGAGATCGTCAGCATCACAGAGGCAGAGATCAGCCATAATAACCAAATGCAAAAGGTGATTCTTGTTGAAGTCCAGCCCAAGGACCAGAAGCAGACTGTCGTGCATATGTACCTTGTGTCACGCACTGATGATGCTCAGTCATCTGCTGATGGTAGTGGTGGCCAGGTGACAGTATCCGAGGCTCAGCCTCTAGCCCTTCCACCTTCTATGTCCAGCCTTTCAGATACACCGCCCAGTGATATTAGTTTAGTTAGCGGAACAGAATCCTGTCCTGTTTCAGATATTGCAACAACAACAACAAAAACAACAAGCAGCTGACCCAAACCCTAGATTAGAAGATTATTTAAATTGTTATTGCATTATTATTATTATTATTTTTACTGTTTTAATAATGATGTGATAATGTAAATTATAATTGTAGATATTGCTATGTATATACTTATATAAGGTTTACAGAATATTTAAAAAAAAAAAAAAATATTTTAAAATTGTCAAATAAAATAATTTTTTTTAAAGTTAACGAAAAAACATTAACAAAAAATGCTGCTAAATTATCAAATGAATATACTGCTCTATATCTATTTATATGTAGGTTATGGATAATACACACACACACACAAGCAAGCAGTCTTTCTTTATGGTGTCTTTTTTTTTATATATATATATATATATATAAATATATATGTATACACACATACACACACATATGCACACACTTCATAAAGATGGCACTTGGAACAGTTATTTTCTTCTTTCCTTTCCTCTTTTACTTTCCTACCCTCCTTTTCTCTCGTCCTCCTTTTCTCTCTCTGTCTCTCCCTCCCCCCTCCTTTTCTCTTTCCTCTCTCAATTTATGAGTTAAGATACTTAATTTTAACTATTAGCCCATGGCCACATTGTATTGAAACACAAATTCCATATGATCAACAAAGTTAGGCAATGCCAAACCTGGTCAGTACCTTAATTGGTGGCCACTAGGGAATACAAGGTGCTTTATGCTTGGGTGTGCAGCTGGGGTAATGTATAATGAATCAGAATTGATAATCAAAGAGCCAAGTTCCAATTCCTGTTGGGTTCATTATATTCACTTACGTACAAATAACCTTGAGAAAGTTATGACTCCAACTCTTCTGCTCCCCCCCCCCCAAGCTATGAGTTAATCAGTAAAACTTGTATGACTAAACCATTATTAAACCCCCACAAAGAAAATATTCTTATTTATATCTAAAAATATTTAAATATCTGCAATGGGTTAATAAGCCATAGAAAATGAACAAATCCATCAAAAAAATAATAAATATATTACACAGACACGCACGCACACACACACACACACACACACACACTCCATAGAGTCATTGTTTTCAGTTTTCCTTTTTTCTTTTTTTTGTGTGTGAGTTAGTTAATATCCTTAATTATATTATAGATATTGTCTAAAAATCAAAAATGTTGTATAATTTTCATTATTCTATGAATTATTCAAGCTGTCATTATCACTAAATATATCAGCAAAAATATTATGGTAAAAACATTAGAGAGACGTACAAAAAATAATTCATTGGAATAATCAATCCTATTTTAATTGATTTGCAATCAGACAAGAGAAAGTTATGTCCCAACTTTATTTTGTGTATGTTCAAAAAAATGCCAGATAAAAAAAAATTGATGTAGGTCAGTTTACATTCATCATAAGTATTTTACTTGGTTTATTTTTTTCTTATTTCAGAGATTATCTTTAGTCTGTTTTGTGACACTTTCAATTCATTCATTTTTTTTTATTTTTTCAAACCATATTTTTGTTTTTACTTGCTTTAAATACTGCCTTCAGTGGCCTCCATTTGATACTAAACCATTTTCTATTGATAAGATTTCTATTATTTGCAAATGCATTGCTTCTTTAATTTTATAGATTGCAATTAAAGTATCATCACTAGCATACCATAATGGCTGATGGAGTGAATGCACACAAGTCAAAGTTTTTTTCCCAGCTTTTTTTCTCTTATTTTCATTTTTTTTTCTTCTATTTTTTTTTCCTGTTCTGCCTTTTCTGCCTTTTCTTTGAATTTCTTTTTCTTTGAATTTCTTTTAGTATTTTTCTTTCTACATAATGTGAAAATAGATTTTATTCCATAACTACTAATAATTCACCTTTTTCACCCAACGGTTGGTTGTTTTTTATCTAATGTTTTTGTTTTTCTATTTTTATTTTTGCTCTATTTGTTTGATTTGTAAAGTTTAGTCATTTCTTTTTCACATTTACTATATTTTGATCTTAAACTAAAAATAATTTTTGGTAAATATATTCAGGTACTAGTTTAAAAGCTGCACTATCAGGCAGTATTTAAGCTAGTTCCTGCGGAGGGCTCTTGATTGGGTCTTTATCACAATAGGTCGGGAGGAGTAGATGCAATAAGAAACAATAAACTACAAAAGAACTCAAAATTGACCGCTGCATTTATGTATTGCATTAATATTTAAGCTTACCTTTCAAGAGTTTGACAATAATTCTTCTGCTGCCTCTTAATTTAAAGATAAATTTATGTACGTAGGTCTTTACGTACAAACAATTATTTTTTATTTCATTTTTATTTTCATGGGTGACATTCACTGGATTTCACAATTAATTTTGATTATTCCCAAATTTATTTCCAAGTTATAAAAATTGTTAGCGTACAAAAAATTTGTCACAAAAAATCATGTACAAAAATCACTGAAAACAATTGCAGAAATGAAAACTTGGGAATCCTAAATTTCAGGATCGCAGGTTCAGATCCAGCCTGATTCCAAAATGCTATATTTTGGGCTACGGCTTGTTGGAGTAAAGTTGAAAAGGTGTGATACAGTGACACACTGATATTCACATTTATTATATAGATAAATTTGGAAATTCCATTTTTGTAATTGTTATGCTTCAATTATTGTTAAACCTTAGATTTTATAAAAAGAAATGATTATATCTAATATTGTGCTAAAATAACTTTTTATCAACTTCTTTGATTTGGGTTTTGTCTTTCTTCACAAAGAACATCTGCTAATTTGGTGTTGCCATTTATTGTCTAGATTCCAAAAATATAAGTCAGTTACCTTCAGATCTTAATTCACTATGTCAAAAACTAACAAATCTCAACCTAGGACAGTAGATGATAAATATTTCAGTATTAAAGTCAATTTTTTCTAAATTAAAATTCCATTCAAATTCTTTCCTTTTAAGAGATTGACATTTTGGAAATATTATGACCCAAATGATAATCGCTATTAATTTTTTGCTCTCACCTTTCATCTTAATTTTAGTTCATTCTCATTTTAACTGCCTCTATAGTGGAAGGCCACATCAGCCATATTTGCAGCCTCAAGGGCTGCATCTGCTTACAGTCTTACATTAATCACATCTAGTAGTAACTAAACTTTAAATACAAATTACTTACAATACAAGGTAGTGCAATTTAATCATTTTTATGTTGTTCGAATAATTGACATTGCTTTATACAAACTATTCTCAATATATCAGGTTGGAATGTCTGTGTTGATCCCACTTTGATCCAAGATGATAAATGTTCATCAGTTAATCTGGTTCTGGGAGATATTTTTGTGGCCTTCATAAACGAAAATAACGGCTCACAGACATGTGGAACCAAACATCACCATAATCTTTGTGGCAAACTTTCTGAAGTTCTTAAATGTTTGAGAAAGGTATGAAAAAAATCTGAGTGCCCACTACTTCTAGATACTTTCAACAAAAATTCTCGATATACCACAGCTATAGAAACCTTTGTGAGGGCTGCCAAGATGCATGTAAAAAGGCCACTTGCAGCCCGTGGGAAGTCAGTTTGACACACCTGCTCTATAGTATCTTAATAAAATTCACCAAATGTCTTTGTTTTTATTTATCATTTCATAACTAAAAGGCAATAGACTGTAGCCACTAAAATTTCTTTACTTACTAATGGGACTGTAGAGTATGTTTTTAACTAATTACATTTTGAAAATTACAAAACTTAATTTTTAGATGAAGGTTTGATTTATAATATATAACTGGACCCTTACTTTGTGTCCAAGTTATTGAAACTAAATGTTTATCTTTTTGTTTAATTTTATACAGTAATATGTTGCTGAAAATTTTCAAGCTAAAACTAAAGTTATGACCTTTCTTAGTCTTATATTTATGAGTCATGACAAAGCTTTGAGCTCTATTTGAAATCACATCCCTTTGCCTCAGAAATCTACTCTTACTGGTTCAAGGCTTACCGCTATATCACACTGAAACACTAATCCTGTATGATCACCAAAGTTAAGCAAATGTCAAACCTGTTCAGTACATTGATAGGTTACCACTTGGGAATACAAGGTGCTTTATGCTTGTATAGGTGAAATAATAGATAATGGTTCAGAATTGTTAATCAGAGAGCTGAGTTAACCATTTCTATTCCATCTTTGGTTCATTATATTCACTTATACCCAAATACCCTTGAATCCACAAGTTTGTACCCTAGCTATGGGTAAATTAAGTGGTTGTCGTTTGAATCCAAAGATGACGTATTGTTTCTGCATCTCAACTGTGAACTTGGAGGTGGCAGCTCCGTAACCCCAGGCGCAGAGTCTGGAACAGTGGGGGGCACTGAAAGTCTGTTGTTGTAATCACTGTTGATGATGACCTGTAGTATTGATCTCTGGCAGCAGTGAGCTTATGGCGTCAGGCATTCTTGAAGGCGACAGCAGCATCATGGATTGTGATTCACCAACATGGAGATTTGCTTTCACAGTGTCTTTGTACTGCTTCTTTGGACGGCCTTGGTTTCTCTTGCAGATCTGTACAGCAGATGTCTTGGCAAGTGGTGCTCTTCCATGCGGATGACATACCCCACCCATCAGAGTTGGGCCTTAATGAGAATGGACTCAATACTTGAAGAGTGAGCATGATCCATGACCTCAAGGTTGGTAATGCGGTCCTGCCAGCGAATTCTGAGTATAGAATGGAGAGCGCGCGTGTGGAAGTTCTCTAGCTTCTTGGTGTGTCTGCGGTACAGTGTCCAAGACTCACAAATATATAGAAGGGTGTACACTGAGCATTCTGTTGCAAAGTCTTCCTAATGCCTGCCTGATTTTGCTGATTCGGGCATCAATTTCTTTGTCCAAGGAGCCATCACGAGAGATGGTACTTCCCAGGTATTTGAAATGCTCAACAATGGCAAGCTGTGTGTCATTCATGACAATGGTTGGTGCTGAGGTTGTTGTGTTTGGTGTGGACTGATGAAGCCCCACAGTCTTGCCGAGATTGATTGTCAGGCCGAAGAGCTTGGAGGCGTCAGAGAAGCGGTCCAACATCAGCTGCTGATCGGACTCTGCATTGTCTACCAGTGCACAGTCATCAGCAGAGAGGACTTCCTGGGGGAGATCTTGGGGGCTCTTTGTCTTGGCAGTGAGGCGACGAAGGTCAAAGAGGGAGCCATCCAAACAGTAGTGAATGTAGACTCCCTGCTCCAGATCTAGAACAGTGTGGGACAACATGAAGGTAAAGAAGACGTTGAATAGGACCAGAGCTAAGATACAGCCCTGCTTTACACCATTGCTGATTTCAAAACTGTCCATCACATGACCACTGGAGAGGACCTGGCCAGTCATGCTGTCATGGAAGAGCCTAATCATTGTCACAAACTTCGGTGGGCATCTGATGCGCACAAAGACTGTCCAAAGTGCTTCCCTATTGACTATCTCAAAAGCCTTGGTCAAGTCAATGAAAGCAGAGTATAGAGGCATGTTTTGTATACATAAATTAGTAAGACTTATATCACTAAAAAACTATCTCCTTCCTTCAAAAAAAAATTCTTACAATTTAAAAATGTTTTCTGGATTTAAATAACCTGCTATAGGTCAATAATCCATAGAAAACTATTCAATCGATCTTACTGATTCAACTGGGTGCACAGGTGGTATTATTGATAGCAGTTCAGAGTGAGATGTTGGAGAGCTAAGTTCAAATTTCACTTGGGTTCATTGCATTCACTTAAGTACAAATACACTTGGGGAAACATGAATGCATTTCCTACCCCTGGCTATGGGTTAAATAGTAAGATGTATCTAGAATAATCATGGTTATTCTCAAAAGAAATTGTTAATGCAATATTTATTTGTTAAAAAAAAAATTACTCAAATTTTTCAGTTTCAAATAACTAGGAAAGGATTGATAATCCATAAAATACAAATAAATCTTTTCTTTCATCTTAATTTCAATTTTTTTTACACAACCACTCACTATCATTCTTTATTCTAATTCGTACCATTTACTGCTGGCTGTACAAGAACAGTCTAAAGTGGTGGCAAAAGCCATTGAAATTAAGATGAAAGAAATACAAGTTAAATGTTGATTATACAGTGTAACCCGGATATAAGAGAGTTGTCAGGACTGGAGAAGAAGTCTCTTATATCCGGGTTTCTCTTATATCCAGGTTTGGTCTATTTTATATACATTAACACAGGCTCTCATTTGGGACCAGAGAAAATCTCTCTTATATCCGGGTTACACTGTAGTTGACAATGATTCATGTAAAAATAAAAATTGAAAATGATAATAATAATCCAACTCCATTGATAATTAGAATGTTCCAGTGCTTCTTGTTTGATTAGATTCAAACAAAAACTTCATGCATATCAGTTATGTTTTTCTTTCCTATTTGTCGTTTTTGTTAGATACACAACTGCAGAGTACAATTGTCCTTGAGTCAAGGTTTCATACAGATATGAAGTATATTGTTTGATTTAATTGTCAAGTTGTGACATAAGTTTATTTTTCTCGGTCATGTCTTCAGTCGTTTCTATAGACCAGAGTTTCTCAACCTTTTTACCCTTGCGTAACCCTTAAAATAAATTACATGTCTCAAGGAACCCCTGCACAAAAACAAAATTTTATACCATATCTTTCTCATTTTATTTTCATCATAGTTCCGTGGTAAATATCATAGTATATATTTTTCAGAATTTTCGGAATGTTTCCTTTTCAAAAATTGCCACATTGGGTGATTGGGTATTTCTGTAAAAATAAAGAACAAAGAAAGAAATAAGTAACATTAAATACATGTCCCGTTTGCTGAGTGGGCACTGACTAGCGAAGGTGGTTTCAAACTGGTGCCATACAGACATCACTAAATATATTCCCAATGACATATTTTTTAATAACATAAAAGGTTAGGTAGGATGATGTCTATATTACAATATTACAATAACCAAGAATATATTGTGTGTGTGTGTGTGTGTGTGTTTAGTAATATTACGTATATAAAATTAAATAAAAAGTCAAAAGTGCATTAGCTTATCTCACCTGTTCTTTTGGAACCCTTGGGGACATTTTGCAGAACCTTAAGGTTCTGGAGAACCCTGGTTGAGAAACGCTGCTATAGATGAAACTAAATATGTCTTATCAACAAAGATACACTTGTGAAGTCATACTTAAGATGGTCTCATTAGACGATTACTACAGTGTGATCCTCTCTGGTTGCTCTAAACTTGAGGCCTTGTGCCATACTAGGATAATTTTAGTAAATACCTGTCTTCACAATAAGCAACAAAAGGATAAACTTGTTTGCTATATTTTGTACCTGTAACATTATAGATAACTCTTTGTTCATTGTCATCTTCAATCTTGAAGCTACCGATAATAGATTATTCTGAAAGAAAAAATGGCAATAGTTTAAATTACAATACAACTATTTAGTGCATATTGTGACTTATACTAGTCTGTAATAAATTTGGCTATAAGTATTTTGGGAAAATATACCATATGTTTCATTCTAAAGTTGCTTAGTTTAAACTAAGGTGAGTCATACATTCCAAGCTTCACCCCAAAATCTGTCCATCATAATACTGATCAATGTTGTAGGCTATTAAATAGTAATTTTCAAAATTAACCCATTAACTCCCAAATTTTTTTTAATGCACATTTTTGGCCCAGACAGGTGTCTTAGGAGTTTATTTATTCCTTATGTTTAATTTCAGTAGTTACCATTGTTGTTTGTATAGAAACTAGAACATCAAATATATATGTGTATAAAACATCAAAAAATAATATCGATTAGAAATAATAAAATACTTTTCAAAATGGTCATTATTTTTCTAATCGTGAAATGTAAAATTACGACAAAAAGTGTCTTCTTACGGCTAATAATAAAAACTTTAAAGGCTAAGTGTTGTAAAATATACCTCTGCAATTCAATGTAAATACAAGGAATAATATGTAGTGAGTTTAATTTTAACAGATCCCTAAATGGGGCTCATGGCAGGTAATCGGTTAAGATCACTGAATAAATTTTGATGACATTACAATATTTCATTTAGGAACCAAATGTTTGTATGAATGACATGTTGACAGAGCTTTCAGAATTTGTATATCCCGAATGTAGACCTGTTAGATATGGCAGTTGTTGACTGCTATAGCCATCTACATAGTATATAAATGTATCACCAACATATATTCCCTTTTCTTCCATAGATTGGTTTTGTTTTTAATATATTTAGTGTAGGGTTCATGTTGTATTGTTGGCAGTAAAGTTCTTTGTCAAAATGATGTTCTATCTAAGCAGATTTTTTATCTCAGTAAATAACTTCCATAACAATATTGCTAACCCATGAGCAAAATGGTGGCTTTAAAAAATGGCTATCCCATTCAAAAACATACAGTTTGACCCTCATTTACCAGGCCTACACCCATAAAGAAAGACACAGCTTGGATACAACAGTTGACTAAGTGGAATTAATAAACACAATTACAGTGCTGATAATTACAATAGCAAAGAATGAATTCAAAGAAATCCTAAAAATAACAACTAATAATTTAAATAAGATAATTTTATGTAATGCTAGATCTGCCTTCAATTAAAGGTAGGTAAAGTAGTAACAATAGTTTGATTTTGCTGATACGACTTCTCGATAAGGCTTGAGGTGTACTTGTCAAAATAGTGATGAGATTGCATCACTATTTCAGTCAATCAGTCTTCTTTTATTTAGTCAACTGACTTATTCATGTCCTCCTCCTATGTGCGGAACCACGTGCCCAGTAAATGGTAAAGCCAAATACTATATTGTATAAGCTGTATGATGTTTTTTATCTTAGAAGATTGTCCACTCAATATATGAAATTGCTAAACAATATATTACTGTTGTCTAATATGCTCTCTGGTTTCTGATTGGATAATCTAACTTCTAATTGTCACAGGTAACTTTCAGACTTAATCTTCCCAAATGCAGTCATTTCATGTTCGCTTTTGTTGTCTGTTTAAACTGGCATTTATGAAAGCAAAACCGGTGAGAAAATTGCTTTTATTTTTCCTTTCTCTGTATTCTTTTCTATATATATATATATATATATATATATATATATATATATATATATATATATATATATATCACACTCAGAGCTATATCCCACTGAAATCCTTGTCTTTCATGCTGAGAGATTAGGATTAAAAAGAAAGAAAAAAAAATATGCTTTGGGATACAAGAGCAATTCTTTGATTGAAATTTCTGCAGCAGTTTCAGGCATCACAATGACCAAATACTTTTAGGCTGGTTCTGTGCATAAAACTTTCCATCTGCCTATTAATTTCATATTGTAATCTCTACCATGCAATAGAACTCACACACAGCATGACATCTGACCTTTATCATTTGATGGGATCACCACTGGTGCACTTTGTAAAATGACATCATTTTACACATCACAAAACGTGTCCTGTTTCATTTATATGCTATTTTAGAAGCTGTTAATCTTACCTGTTTATGTAGTAACTAATATCATAAAAATTTAATACAGCAAAATTTTCAATTATATATATATATATATATATATATATATATATATATATATATATAGAGCAATAACAACAAAAATGTAGCTTAAGACTGACTGCATTGGAATCTGCTACACATAAGTTTTAATGAATGAGTGAGGGTTGCTATCTCTTGATTTTTTGTTACTATACACTCTGTTTTTTTTTTTTTTTTTTATTTTCCTTTAACTAAACTTTTTAGGTACTAGGGTTAAAATTTTAGTAAAACAAGTATGATTTTCTTTTTTTATTTTCTTTCATGTTTTGTTATTCAGTCTCACATTTTGTATGTTGTACATTGAAAATCAGGAAGAAGGGGATTGTCAGTGGGTAGGAAGGTTACTAACAAAATAGTGTGTGTGCATATATATATATATATATATATATATATATATATATATATATATATATATCTCACTAATGATTTCTCTAGAAATGCATTCAAAATCAAGAAAAGAATGGTCATAAATAAAGGCAAGTTTTACTGGCAGCAAATGGCTATAATATATCCAATGAAACTTATTTACAAATATTTAAATTATCAATAAAAATCTAAAAGACTTGTGTGAAAGAAAATCATTTTGCAATTTAATTCCTAGGCTTCTTGTGCTTGGTAATGTTAAGAAAATGGATAAAAAGTGAGCTGACTTTTGACTTAGATATTATGAACCAAAAATATAAGGCAAAAATTTGTCATGGCTTTGTGAGTTATAAGTAGTGTATGTCAAAAAACCTAACCAAGAATAAGCTTTTTAGTTTTGTTTGCTAGCCAACAAATTTAATGTTACCTCCCCTCCTTCCCCCATGCTGTTTCTAAATTTTAGATCAAATTTGATACTTTTTATTGTGCGCAAATCATTTCTAAACAGGTTAAAAAAAATTCCAACTGGCCAAAAATATCTATAACTGATACTTTAGTTTTTTGTCCTTTTTTTTTTTTTTTTATCAGTATCTATTATACCTGTACTGTAAACAAATGAACATCCCTTATTAAACTAACAAAGTGATGACTTAAAGTAATTTGCTCTTCGAATAAAATTCCTCATGTTAATCTGACACCAACCACAAGAATTTGAATTTGTATCCTTTATTCAAACAAAGGATGTCTTATTTGAAGATCAATCTTCAGACTACATCATTTTACAAAAGTATTGTTATACCCTTCTTCGTTTCACCAATAATTGTTACGGCCAAACAAAACTGCACCAGCTCTAGTTAATCTTGTTAATATCTACAATAAAAAGAATGTTTATGGTTTTCAGAGAAAGCTGATTTTTAACCAAGTTTTGTATCTGATTTTTACCCTTATAAAAACAGGCTCTAGCCTCGGGTGGCCATTCTTCCAGGCATTACTTCTCCTTCAAGAATGGTCAGTCATTACCCAGTGCTTGAAGAGGAAGTGCCAAGGAGGCTCAAGCAGTTTTTCTATGGTTACCAAATCTCACTTTAAACATTGACCTTGTACCACATTCTATGCAAATACAAGCATGGATAAATACCAACATAAGATTTTGATCAAATCCAGATATGACGAAATAGGTAGCTTTTTCATTATTAATTTTATTCATAGACTAAACTAAATCTAATCCAGAACCATATTTGGCTATTTGTTAGACCCATCCAAACTTTGCCCAAGGTCACATTCATGGTAATTGCTTGGAAGCCAACCATGATGTTCTACAAAAAGGTCAGGGATGTCTGAGGGATCATTTTAACTAGGTCGTTAAGTTTTAAACAAACAAACAAACAAATCATTTTAACTATCAATGGCCTGAGTGTGTTTAAGTAAAGAAATTATGAATATAAACTTATAACTGAAATTCTTTCTTTTCTTTTCTTTTTTCTTTTCTTTTTTTTTTTTTTTTTTTTTTTTTTAAATGCTTCATAAAAAAAATTAATAGGAACTCTTTTCTTTATTGGTAATTGTTTTTTTAATTTCTTTTTTTTAATTTCTTTTTTTTATCTTTTATAGACTCTTTACTTTTCTTTGGTATTTCTAATAATGATGCGGTTTTATTTCCTTGTTTGCTTTTAAACAGAGACGTGATAAAATTGGATTAGAATAAGGCTTTTAAGAAAAATATCCAAAAATAATTTATCACTGATATTCATCATCAAGGAGTAGCTATTTACTAAGGTTAGCTTTGTATGTGACACCCAGTGAGGATCAAACTCACTAAAACTATAATGGCTTGTGACATGAGCTTGC